GCGAGGGCGGTGGGTGGTGGGGGGGGGGGGGGGGGGAAGCAGGTAGGTGCAACCCGCTGCATCTCCCTGGGAAAGCCCAGGCCCCACACACTCCCAGCTACTTTCACTTCCCTTTTCCTACGCAGACTTGCTCAACCACTCATTCAGCATTTATAGGAATGACTCCAGCACCCACAAGTCATTCCCAATGCCTGCTGGAGACTCATGCTGCCTGGTCTCACCACCCTGTGTTACTCACTGTCCTCACTGTCTACTGCCTCCACCGAATGTGCTAATTCTGGACAAGAGCAGTGGTCATGCCCTATTTCAGACCCGATTGTATTCTGGCTTCCCTGAGAGCTTGGCTCCCTACCGTGGTTCTGGTGCCACTTTCCCTCATGTCACATAGGCAATCCCCCAGCCTTTGCCTTCAGGGCACCCAGAGGAAGTGCAGGCCAGGCCACCAGGCTGTACCCTGGCACACGTGGCCCCAAATGGCCTTGGTCTCTTCCTCATGCTTGGAGGGGCCTTGGCACCAGAGCCAGGAGATGGAGAGGAAAGGCCATTGGAGTGAGTGAAGCTGATCAGACCCAGCAGAAGTGAAATGGAGGGCAGAAAGGGCCACATCTGCAATGAATTCCACCATAGTGTTGCCAACTGTCATGATTTTTGGCATTGTTCTTAAAGTCTACACTTTGGAAGTGTGAAAAACTTAGCTCTTTCATATATATGCTTCAGGAACGTGAAAAACTTAGCTCTTTCATAGATATACATACATATACACACACACACACATACACACACACACACATACACACACATATATATGTGTATGTATGTATATATGTATATGAAAAAGCTACGTTTTTCACGTTCCTGAAGCATAGACTTAAGAACATCAAAAATGGTGAGATTTGGCAGTACTGTGCACCATGACCCAAAGCCTCAGAGCTGCTGGGGTGGGGGCTGCAGTCACAAGGTACCGGCTACTGGTCTGCTTTGGGACTCCAGGCAGAGCCCAGCACCCGTGTTCACCAGGGCTCACCTTGGTTCAGGCCCCTTTACAGCCTCTGCGAGCTCTCTGATACGGCAGGGACACAGGACTGGGGCTGCCCCACAGAATTCCCCCTCCCCACTGCCTGGTCTCTGAGCCACCCTTGCCTGATGCCAGGAGCCAGGGCTGGATGTCCCATGCACCCATGCCAGAGGCAAGACAAAGGGACTTGACCAAAGCCACACAGGGGGCCGTGGCAGAGCCAGTCTCGGCCTGGCGTCAGCGCCTGGCGCCTGTTCTAGTTGGCGGTGCCAACTGCCTGAGCTCCAAAGTAGAGAATCAGTTCCTATCCTGCTCTCACAGCTGCTCATGTGCTTGGCCCCCACTTCCTCCCACGTGATGGAGCCTGTGGTAACAGTGACGGGGCTGCGTACACCTGATAAATTCAAGGCCACAATTTCCCTTGCAGGTGGGTGGTGCCTGGTTGGGGCTTAAAGGTTCCCAACCGAAGCTGGGCCAGGAGCTTCCCCCAGTTCAGACATTAGGTCCATTACACTGGGCATGGCCCAGACTCCCCAGGCCAGGATCAGGCCCACAGTCCCGTTCTCTCTCTCCCCACCCCCCCACCCCCGGCTAGGATCATAGCCCCAGGTGCAGCCCAAACCCCACCTGTGAGACAATCCCTGTTCTGAAGTCAGCCTAGCAATGGAAACAACCCAGGTGTCTGGAGAGCTGGGCCTGGGCTATCCCACCAGGCAATAATAGCTTGGACCTTGGGTTCTGGAGCAGTAGGGAGTGGGTAGCCAGGCCCAGACAGTTGGTGAATCCCTCTCTTCCCTGGAGGAGAAAGGGGGGCAGGATCACAGCTGAGAAACCCCAGGCACAGTGAGAGGAAGTGGTTTCAACATAAACACAAGGAAAGGAAACCAGCCACGTCACAACTGCATTCTTCTCCTTGATCCAGCCCAGCTAGGCATGAGTGAGTAGCATTTCCAGACTAGGTTGTTTGCCTCCCACAGACCCCTGCCTGTGGGCCATGGGGCAGCCAGGACATCAGGGCTGCCCTGGAGTGAGGGATATCCCTGTGATGCCCATTGCAGGACAGGGGAAGGAGCTGCCCCAGCCCCAGCCCCCTCCTTGGCCAAAGCTCCTGGCAGGGACCTGGGGCAGCAGGGCATCCAGTCCCCGGAGTTGGTGTCATTGAGACTTGCAGGTGCATGTACAGAGATGCCACCAGGCCCGGGGGCAGGTGCACATGTGTGGGGGTGCCACGAGTGTGAGCATGGCCACAGTGGTGAGGTGGAGGCCTCAAGGGGGGAAAGGGAGATGACTCCTGACGGACGGGGCAAGGCTGAGAGAAGCCAGTGAAGAAACTATAACTATAACTGTGACTGGGGCAGGCAAGGGCCAGTCTGGGTGTGCAAACGTGTACAAAGGGGCAGGT